TGTTACCGGGCAAAAAACGTTTGTCTTAAAAAATAACGAGGATTCACTCCTTGTCGTGGGTTCCACCCGCGAACAAAAAACCCAGCAAACATCCCTTTTTCAATTAAAAAACATCCCGTACAGGTACAGTTCATACGAAATAAAAAACATGAGCAAGGGGATTACAAGTTCTAAAGTTAACAAAGGCCCGAAGGCTTACAAGACTAAAAAGAGATAAGGTGCCCGTAACCCCTTTCTTGTCCCTCTCCCCAGGGAATGAAACAAGAAAGCAGAAGGGCAAAAGGGGCGCCTAGGCAAGCTACAGGTGGCAGAAGACACCAAGAAAACATCTCAGCGGTCGTCCAGAGGCTGGATGGTGATGGCGGCGCCGGAGGAAGAGCTCGAAGACGAGGCGGCAGGACGTCAATACGCGATGAAGGCATCAGTGCCCGCTTACTCCGACTTGACAGCCTGGCCGCCCGCCCTCTTCCTCTTCCGCAGCCTCCCAACGCCAGCCGCCCAAGGAGACGACCCCGAGAAGTTCAAGGAGTCGGTGACACGGATTGTGGGGTCGCCGGTGCCGCCCAGAGTGGCGCCCGACGCCTAGTCGGCCCGTCATCCTGCCGCCCGCTGCCCTCGTCGTCGCTGCCATTGTCCTCCTTGCCACTCTTGCTTGAGGAGGAATCTTCGTCGTCAGAAGAGCTCTCCATGCATCACCTCACGCGAGTCCCGAAGTGCCCGAAGATCTTGACAAAGAGGAGGCCACCCTCCATTAGTTTGAAATGGAGAGTGAGCCCCTCCGTCAAGCTGTGGATGCGAGCAAAGGTCTTCCACCCTCGGCGGAGATACATGACGTGAGGGGCGGGGAACTCGACGTCGGCCCACGCGCCGCTGTTCCCACAACCCCTCATGTGCAGCCGCAATGCCTGTGGCGGATCCAGCTCCATCTCCCGTGCGAATGGAGTCAGAAGACGAAGACGATGGCGTGGCGGCTGGCACAACCTAATGAAGAACTCGCAAGGGTTGTCCCCGACGTGGCCCTCCACCGAAGGAGGGGCCACTGGCGGAGGCGAAGCCGATCTGCCGCCCCGTCCTCCTCCCCCTCGAGCGCCACGATGGCCTCGACCTCGCCCCCTCCCCCTCCCTCTAACAGGCGGCTCCGCCACCACGAGCTCTGGGGGAGGAGCGATGCGTTGTCGAGCCGAGACCCTCGCCGCCACCGATGAAGCGTCGCCACACCCCCTCACCATGGCAGAAGAAAGGAGGAAGCAGGAATGAGGAGAGGCAGATGGCGAAGGGTTGAGAGGCACCGTTCCTCCCACTCTCCTCTTTATAAAGGGGCGGGGGCGAGGCTCGGCCACCCCCTCCCAGCTAATCCGGCCCGTTGAGGTGACAACAAGTGGGGCGTCGACCGCCCTCCCCGCTCCATTGAAGGCGCGTGGGAATCGACCCACGCACGCGCGCGACTTCCCACATCCCGCGCGCCTGTCATTCGCCCTACGTCGTGCATGCAGCGAACGTGGCGCAAGGGATAGGCGCAGTGGGACGCGTAGAGCGACCGTTCCCAAGCGAGAGCAGTAAATGAGCAGCGGTCCTGCGGTCTTAAAGAGACACGCTACCCGCCTCTTTACTGTCCACCACGGGATGATGCCAACATGCTTCCGTCATACACGCGCACGACCCCCACGTCGCGTGTTCAACGCGAGTCATGGGGAAACACAGCGGACGAAACAGTTACCGCCGTAAAAATCCGCCCCAACTGCCCGCACACCGTTCTGGGCCTGGCCCAACAACGTGCTGCACTTATGTATGGCCCAGGCCCGGGGGCTCCTGTTGGTGTACAAAAGTAGGGGCTCTGCTTTTGACCCCTTTACTTATGCACGGGCAGTCAGAGCCACCCGCCACGGCCACGCATAACAGGGCAGGAAAGGGAAGCCGGAGAGAAGCCAAAGGCACAAGACAAACAAAGCAACGACAAGGACCAAGGCCACAAAGATCGGATGGACGAAGCAGGTTGGGCAGCATCAGCGGCCCCGACAAGACCCTTGTCGAGGCAACTCGCCCACACTAGCTGAGCGAGCCACCTTTGAGCCCACCAACACTAAACAAATGCATTGGGACAGGGCTCAGGAGGCACCTCCGTGGTGGCATGCAGATCTTTGTGAAGACAAAGAATAGTCAAGATCAAATGAGGATAGGAAGGCAACAGTCCTCGGCAAGGGTTCTTACTGAGGAAGCCCATGAGACCCCCGGCAAGGTCCTTGCCGGGGATGACGGCGTGTCGCGGCAAGACCCTTGCCGGGCCACCCGGCAAGGCCCTCGCCAAGCGCGCCAGCAGGGCCACTGCTAGGCCCACGCCAGCCAAGTCTCCGCCGCCGTTCGCATGCAGCTACCGACCCAACCAACTCGGCATGCACCTGCTTGGCAACATGCAACCCTTCGTGGAGGCTCCACCACCGCGCCACCTCAGATGCCTGCCTGACTACATGGCATTGCATGCATCGCTAGCCTGGGCGCGTGTCAAAGTAAGGAGGAGCGGCGACGGACGGGACGGGCCTCGCTCCCGTCCCCGATAAAGTGAAGTGACACCTAAGCCTCGCATTAAATGCACTTTGTCTTGTAATACCAGCGATAAGCTCACAATATTGTAGCACTATCCACTCCCCGTGTGCCACTATGGCAGCCCCTTTCGCCTATAAAAGGAGGCCCATGGCGCACTCGAAAAGGATTCGGCTCTTTCGAACCTGGCAGCACCCAGAGCTAGTTCAAGAGCTCAAGAACACTAAATACATCCATCAAAGCAGGATCATAGGGTTTTACGCATCTTTGCGGCCCGCTGGGTAAATCCCCTTTGTGCTGTCTACTAGTCCCGCTCTTCTCACGATCCCCGCGCCCCGCAACCATAATAGGGATTCCAGTGATCCCATAGGTGTCGTTTCCCACCGACACCTGCCACCACCTCACATCGCCCACCGCCAGCCAGGAGCCAGATCCGGATGGATCTAGCCAGACTCACGCTGGCACGCCTCCGCCCGAAGTGGTATCTCCCGTGGCCGCAGCATCGCAGCCCCCCCGCCCTGCTCGCCGGCGCGCCACCACCTGGTTCCTCCGCCGCCGAACAGAGAGCGCGCCATCGCGTTGCAGGGCCTCGCCACAACCCCGCACCACCGCTCGACCACCCATCTCACGCCAGTCGTGGCGCACGAGCGGAGGGGAAGAAGAGGCCCCGTCGCCGTCACCGCCAGCCGGGCATCGCCCGACGGCGTCCCTGGGCGGCGGCAAGGGGGAAGGGCAGAGGAGGGAGGGTTGGAGGCGCGGTGTTTAGGGTTCCCTCGGTCGCTTGCTAGAGCGACACGGGAAGGGAGAACAAAAAGAAACTAACTTAGCCCATATATGAGTTGGGTATAAGGTTTCCCGGGCGTATTTGGACCATACACCATGTAGGTGCGGCCTATCCCGAACTCTATTTTCTCTTTCTTTTTTTAGGTCTTCATCCCACCAATCACAACATGTGTCCAAATGATTTTGTCTCTTCTTTCGACCAATCACACCCATCTATCCAAACAATTTTTAATTGAAAAGACATGATTTTGTGGGCAACCGCACGTCATGGTTGTATATAGTCCTGGCCATCTCAAGCCCGACCCTGTCGGCCCACCCAGACCCGGCCCTAAAATCCTGGGCCTAGGTCCGATGGGCTTGCCCATGGGCCGGGCCTGGGCCTGAGTTTTGAGCCCACTAGTAGGGCTTGGACGGGCTTGGGCTTGACATATTGGCATTTTAAGGAAGAGGCCCGGCCCACGGCCCTAAGCCCTAAGGGCTTTTTAGGGCTTTTTACCAGATGGACCGGGCTTGGGCTTAAAAAATAGGCCCAGTGATAGGGCTTGGGAGGGCCTGGGCCTCAGTTTTCTGTCGTGGGCTTTTTTAGGCCCGGCCCGGCCCGGCCCATGGCGAGATATACTTGTATATGCTCTTCTTGCAAGGCACCCAAGGAGGACCTGCGTAGCTTGGCCTTTTTTTGCTTTGCTCACCAAAAATATTTGGGGAACAAATCCCCAGATTCGGAAACAGAGGAAGACGAATCAATCAGAGAGGAAGTGGCATGCACACGCGTCACCGCCTCGGGGAGCCCACATCGCCGGTGCTTCTCCAGCTACATATTCTTCCTCACCCCCGGTAACCCACGCACGCCCGTCCTTCTCCCCCTCTCCTCGGAGCACCTTCGCTTTCACATTATCGGGGAACATTCTTCTCTCTCTCTCTCTCTCTTCCAAGAAGTCGGGGAGGATCTCATCTGCCCCCCTTGACCTGTGAATTAGTTAGTTTCGTCCTGCCCAGATCCTGGTGGAGCGGCAAGCCTGCAGCAATCCGTGGGCAAACATGAGTGGGTTGAAAAAGAAGTTTTTTTTTTTCTCTTTAGCAAGTGAGTGGCTCAAGACTATTGATTTTTTCTACTGTATTGGGATTTAGTCCTGTTAATTAATTCGCATAGTTTGCACTAGTGATTTTTTTTGAGCTGAAGCACTAGTGATATTCTGGTTGGGACTTGGGAGCAAACACCTTTATTGCACAAGTATATTCTGACTGCGCCATTGGTCCTGAACTCCTGATACTGCCAAAGGAAGCTCCTTTCTGTTCTTGTTGCTATCTTTTCCCTAAACAACCTGTAAATACTATCTGGAAGAACAACTGAGTTTCCATATGGTTAGGAAGTGCTAATTTTGCTTCAGAAGGTCCAAGAACTGTTTGGTAGCTTTCCAGATCACTCGAGTGTGCATAGGCTTTTCATCAAAAGACTCTTAAGGTCAAGTTTGTTGTCGACCCACTTAGCTAGGTCCTTAAGTTCATTATGTATGTGGGCGTCGGTTATAAATACAATACCATGTTCGTCATTGCTTATCTTCTGCTTCCTGAGCTGAGCATTATATTGCTTCATGTTAGTAGTAGTACCTGATGAAATATGCATTGGTTGTAGCAGGAACCAGAACTAAATCATATAGTTGTTTTATGGCACGCTTCTGATGGCCAACACTACAATGGGAAGTACCACTCGAGCATGCGATGTGTACCTGCTGTTCAATGGCGAAACACTGCTTCCAAATGGTGTCCGTGCTTTCCTTTGTACTGTTGCCCTAGCGTACTGTTTTATTGGTTTATCCGCGATCACTGCCCGGTTCTTCAAGTCGATGGAGAGCATCACAAACCACTCTCGGGAGGTAGTTACAATTGATACAGAAACAAATACGCCTATCGTGAAGCATGAGAAGGTTTGGAACTACACTATAGCGGACATTGCTCTGCTTGCTTTTGGTACCAGCTTTCCCCAGATCTCCCTCGCAACAATCGATGCAATCCGTAATCTCGGTCAACTGACAGCAGGAGGTATAGTTAACTGATTGACGTAAATATTTTGACACAAATCTTATTTAATTGTATCTAATTTGGTAGTACTTCTGTTGCAGGTTTAGGTCCAGGTACACTTGTGGGTTCTGCTGCGTTCGATCTGTTCCCGATCCATGCTGTCTGTGTGGTTATGCCAAGGGCAGGCTCTATGAAAAAGATTTCCGATTTAGGTGTTTGGTTAGTTGAGCTGTTTTGGTCATTCTGGGCATACATCTGGCTGTATATTATTTTAGAGGTAAAGTCATATTCTCTTGTACTGCTATCTAACTGTAATTACTGAGTACAGTTTTTAATAATGAACACTTTGCACTTATGTGTAGGTGTGGACACCTAATGTGATCACCCTCTGGGAGGCCCTGGTAACAGTTTTGCAGTATGGATTACTTTTGGTTCATGCGTATGCGCAGGATAAGCGGTGGCCATATGTGTCAATCCCTTTGTATGGTTCTAGTCCTCAAGATATTTCTCTTACCTAAATTGCATGTCACCAATTGGTCATTGAGAAATTAATTATGCGTTTATTTTTTCTGATGTTTGCAATTTGATGTGTTGCAATCAGGGTCAGAGGTGAGAGACCTGAAGATTTGGTTCCAGCAGAAGATACTTCACTTCACCATGACAAAAATTGTGATGAAAATAGTAACATACTACCCAGCGAGAATGATGATGTGGATATATTCTCCATTCATTCTTACAGCAATGCAGGTAAACAGTTTCTGAACATTGGGTACTGTTTCCTCTAATGAACCTATATTCTTTGTATGTAACCAGAAGAGCCAGAGTTTATACACATTCACTTGTGTAGTCCAATAAATGATCAAGTGCCTATCAGTAGTTAACTTATCCAGTCTCCATCAGATTTCGCATTTCTGTTTGAAACTACATGGGAGTTAATTTGTGAATTACAACTCTAGCACTCATGTGACATTTTGCAATTACACTAATTTGTCTGTACTACAAAATACATTTGTTCTTCACGGGGGATGTTTGATGGTACTTGTAGTTTATGCAGATTGACTATCCATTAATATACCGAAAAAGGCTACCGCCCCGCTTTATATATAAAGCAAAGGTCAACATCACCTGGTACAAACGCACGCCACCACCACACACACCCAAGGTAGGATACATAGGCGCTGAGCGCAGCAACACCACCCCTAGCACTACAACCACGAAGAGATGAAGCCGCATACGACGAACCGTGGACTCCAAGGTGGCGCCTTCAGGAAGGATACGGCACCGAAGCGCCGCCACCGCTCGATCCGAGGATCAGAGTTTCCCCTGGAGCCGCATGATGGGCAATGAGAGCCGCGACGACGCCTTCAAGAAGGGAACGAGCTTCGCGTCGCCGGTCCGTCCGAAGATAGAACAGGTTTTCACCCCGGCCAACACTCACCGCCACCGAACGCCACACCCTGGCTACCACGCCGCCCACACGGCCATGGCCACCGGGCAGCACCAGGCCACGGGCTCTGCCTAAGAGCACCGCGCTGCCGCTGCCCCGGCTTCCAAGACCTTGACACCACCTCACCTGAGACCCACCGCTACCCCAACCAAAGAGACAAGCGGAAAGGTCCCTCCTTTCGCACCCCTGGGCGACGAGACCCAGTAGGCCGGCCAGCACTGGCATCCATTGACCCGTCCCGAAGCCCCGTGCGCAAGACGAGCTCGGTCCTGCAGCACCGTGAGGGGGATGAGGTCAGTCCTGTTGCACCGTGCGCGAGACTAGCTCGGTCTGGTCGCAATGTGTGCGAGACGAGCAATGGACCGCAGCTGGGAGAGGGCCAGTCCTTCGATGGAAGTAGCGCCCGCGCGACGAGGAGATGGGGCGAAGGTCGAAACGGTCCGATCGCAGACGAGCCGACGCCGGAGAAGCCGTCCGCCTCCGCAGGCAGATCCGCCGAGCCACCGTGAAGCCGCCACGACACCGAGAGGCCACCATGCGCCGGACCTCCCCACGCCGCCGCCCACGGCCGGAGCAACGACCACACCCGGCCGCTACCATACTCGCATCGCCCGGCGAGCTCCACGTGCCGGAGCCGCCGGGCACGCACCACCAGATCGGCCCCGCGCCATCACCGGGCCGGGCTGATCAGAACCAGCCCCCCAGCAGCCGGCCGCACCACCCAGACCCGCGCGCACCACCAATGCCATCCGGGAGGGCGGATCCATGCCGCCCTCGCCTGCACCTCGACGAAAGAAGCCCGACGGATCTGGCCGAAGCCCAGCTGCCACCACTGCCACCGCCACGGGCACCACCAGCCACTGCACCGCCTGATTCCCAGCTACGCCTGCCACGCAGTAGCGCGTCGCCCGTCGCCAGCGCCGTGTCCCAGCTGGAAGGAGCAGCCCCGTGCCGGTCCCCTCCTGCGAGGAATCAAAAATGCCCCGCCGTCACCGCCGCCGGGTGGGCTTTGCCCGGCCGAGCCCTGTGGCGGCGGCGGGGGAGGGGGGAGAAGAGCTGGGGGACCCTGGTGGCGGCGGGCTTTCCTCCCGGCTGCCGCACGGGGGCGACACGGGAAGGAGGGGAGGGAGATACTTGCCTCTCTGGCTTCTTTTCTTGAATCCATCCATTAATATTTCTCGGCATTACGTACTCTAACACTACCCCCACCTGGACATGCAGCTTGTCCTCGACCTGCAGCCTAACCAACTTATAACCATGACTCGACGCAACACAAACCTAACACCTAAAAACAAGCCTTTTACATCTCGGCTTGTTTTATTATTCTCAACCTAAAATGGACTGAGGCGCTTTATTCTCAACCTATATAGTCAGGCAGACGTCTACCCTAGCCGCTGCCGTTTTCTCGTATGGTTTCTCACCGCCGTTCCAGACCATTGCACTGCCAATCAAGTCTTCTCCATCCCTCCTTTCGGCGTGCACCGGGAGAAGGTACAGCAGGCCTCCGGAACCCTGCCTCTCGTGATCCTATACGGGAGAGGGGCGATCAGGTTTTTGGGGAGCGCACTCGCGCGACTGCTGGCAGCGACGACTTCGCGAACGACGACTTCTTCCCCGACCTCGGCAACCTCATCCTCGACGACATGGGCGACAACGTCAACGCCGGCGGTGCTGCTCCCGCTGCACCGTATGTGATTCTATCTTTCTTGTTCGAGATCGTGGTAGAATTCATGTTTCTAGTATGTGCCCTAGATGTGATCTGTTCATCTACTATGCTAGTTCGCATGATTAGTTCAATCTCTGCTACTGTAGTCATGATTTATCTTCTGTTAATTCGGATTAATTCTCGTAGTAATTTGCTCATATTTTCAACAGATTTCCCATGTCTCAGCAGCATGGGGGAGCCGGTGTCCTCGGCCGGAGTTGCATCTACTTGCGGGCGACCTCACTGTGACGATCACATCTACAGGTATGCTAGCTCTTCCTCCTCTTCTTTGGTCAATTTTGATTTGATCCATAGAGTGCCAGGAGTTTTAGGATTAGTCATTGCTTGTATCTGCTGTGCGTGACATGACCTTCTAATTACTGAATTACTGCTCATTGTTCTATCATAGAGGAGACATGCTGAATAATGGTAGTATGTGTGTGATGTATCTACTCTATTTTTCCCCTTCTTCACTTTAAGAATTATTTATGTGCTAGCTGCAGATTCGGAGGTACAAACGACTGGTAAAGAAGCTCCTTCAACTATTTGATTTAAGGTATGCTTTGACTACTTTCTTTTTTCTTTCTCTCTTCATGTTCTCACGGTTTTGTCTCTTTTTAAAACCCCAAACAGAGAAGACATGGGTTGGTGCTAAAAATATATGTGTTGGCTATAGGGCCATAGAAATAATGATCGATGATCAAATCCATCTCTGCATTTAAAGGATGACTCCTTCGGCGGTGTGCTGTCAAATTTGATGTAGATATCCATCCGAGTCTTTCCTTCCTCATTAACTTGAAATACTGCCTAACTCAGTTTTTCTGTGTGCAGGAAGTTGAGCATGCCTGCCTTATGATCAATCTTGACAGTGTGCAGCATGGTATGCACTTCTGCTGTTCTGTCTAGTTAGTGCTATAGTTCATTGGTTGCTAAAATTGATTGCTCATCTCCTGCTTAGTGAAACGGTACACACTGAATTTAGATTTCAGTGTGAATAAATCATTGTGCCATGTTCAAAATTAGAATTACAGAGAAGGAAATTTTGTGATTAGGCTGCTGGGTGTTTCTTTTCAAGTAAATGGCAATGCTAAGTTGCTGGTTTAACTTAGGTATGTAGGATAATTTTTCCTCTCTTTTGCTCAAATCTGGAGACTAGCCAATGAGATGTGCAGAGTATTTTTGATTCTGTCCTTTTTCTGCAGTATTGTAGGGATGGACATATGGATTGAGAGGTACCCTATTGAAAGCTACACAGATCTTAGCAGCCAAGAACTTCTATTAGAATGTATATTCCAACTCCTCTTATAATCTTGAATGCTTCTCGGTCGTAAAAACTGCAACTTATATTTCTTTCTGGATTCAATACTTCGGTCTGCAACTTATGTTTCTTTCTGGAAACAATACTTCAGTCATATACTTGTCACAATGCAACATTAATAACATAAATAGGAATTTTTGTCAAATTGTGAAACTGTAATTAATATCTTCATTCTCTGATCAACTCCATGTATTTGTGAGCTTAATAAAGTAGTTGTGGTACTGAATCATTTGCTTTCGGTTTCTCCTGGTTTTTTGAAAAAAAGCTATTGTATTGTTTGCTTGCAGAGCTTCGATGGAGAAAAGTTATTATGGATGGTCTTTTGTACTATGTGCTTCAATCAGAGCTTCGATTTTCTTAGCCGGCAACAAGGTACATTCTACGTCATCGTTTCTTAGTTATTACATTTCTCCCATTTGTTACTTATTTATAGGAAAATCTATCAAATCTCAAGGCACCTTAAGTGCATGATGGTTTTTAGTCTGTTATAGGAATGAATACTAATTGCTGGCACTCACTAATAGGTGTAAGATAGCTTTGTGGATGGTTTGGTGCCTTTGGAGCTTCCTCCATTGATGCATGCATTCTATTCTGCACATACCCTTCATCTCCTACCTCCTCGGTTCGTCCTCTTGGTCTGGCTGCACAAGCACTTTGCATAAGGTTTGTACTCTTTCGGTTACCTAATTTGGTTTGTTTGAATGTTTTGAGGCTCAGTGTTCGTGCTCTCTGCTGTGATTGGGCGGTTGAAATCAATTTATCTGGATAGCGAGGAGCAATTCAGTAATCATTTACACACCATGTATACTTCATTTTATTTCATGTATAACCTGTATAAGACAGAAAGTGGGTAGCTCCTCCGTTTCAATGCTAGCCTGAAAAATACTGAGTTTCCCTTTAGATAATTTCATGTATAACATGTATAAGAAAGTACCATTACTTGAAAATTTATAGCGTGCAGACCACCACAAAGAATAATCTGCCTTTAGATAATTTGAGTGGATGCTCATTTGATAGTTAATCAATTATGCTCATAACGAGGGCGTCCGGAGCAAGCTGCCTGCCTCCAAGAGCGCCTTTTCCTAGGGGTATCATAATGACCTGTGTATTTCCTATGATTAATTGATGTAGTAGATTTGAAGTTAAGGGATTGGTGTTGCAATTTGGGATGCGGTGACAGTGACTTTGCATTTTAGAGTAGCGGCATACATCTATATATAAGAATACCTATGTTCCGAATTTATCTTTAGCCTATGCTTCGGTTCAGGTGCGTAATTCTTGACTATAGTGGGCGTTGTGTTGTTGCTCCTGTGATAGGTTGTTTATTTGGACTTGTGCTACAAAGATGTAGTTTCTGCAAAAAGAAAATGCTACATTTTTTACTAGCAAAGATGTCGATCTTGCACGTTCAGCTTTCTGCGCACGGTCTCACTGTCATCTTGTAGAGTCTATTTGTAGCGTTGAATACAGAATTTTAACCCTCCTATTTTAGAGTATGAATCAGAATCTAAATCAGCAACTGTAAAAATGATTAGTAATTGTGCTCACTTTTCAGACCCTCCTCCTGTTCTTGCTACCGAACCCCTGCCACCATCATGTCCAGATTGTCCGTCTTCATGGTTGTAGCGCCAAGGTCACCACATCTTACATCCTGATGCATGTAAGACAATATGATTAAGGTCCCTGTATTTTGTTAATTTCCGGGCTTGCTAGCGTATATATTCATTTCTATTTTGTGCTCACCGGGACCTTGCGTAGAAGAGGTGTTAGGTTGAAGCATGAGGCTGCACTACTAGGTAAAAACCTATACACAAAATCTTACCAGCAGCGCGCTTTTAAAAAAAGGCGCTGCTGCTACTTAGCAGTAGCGCTCTCCAACATGACGCATTGCTGAAACAAATTTAGCAGTAGCGCTGCCCAATAAGCCGCGCTACTGCTATAATTGCCACGACCCTGCTGCCAAGCTAGTTATAGCAGCAGCGCATTAATATAAAGAGCGTTATTGATACAGATCATACCAGTAGCGCCTTCTCTCAATACCAGCTACTGCTAAGTTTACTACAAAAATTTAGTCCCACTTCGCTCCGCGAACAGGGTTTTTACCACCTTAAATATGTTACTTCTCAAACTATCACATCCACTTGGTCTTCATTGAACTCTATGTGTAGAATTTGTGGCCGCAATATGAGTCATCTCCGGTTTTTAAACCGGTGAGGACTCATATTGACAATTCAGATTGTACACAAAAAGATCATCGATGATTAATGTATTTTTGATGTATGTTTTTACATGTTTACACATAGCAGTAGCGCGTTTTGGCTGAAACGCGCTACTATTAGGTCGTTCGGCAGTAGCGCGTTTCTCTATAGCTCGCTACTGCTAAGCCATTCTATCTTCACCAAACGACCGCCCCTCACTCTCCTCTCTCCACTCACACTCACACTACTCACTCGATCTCCCACTCAATCGCCCCGTGCCCACCCTCGCCCCTGCCGGCCCCTGCCGGCCAGCGTCGCCTACCCCTCCTCCCTCTGCGCCGCCGTCACCTCTTCCTTCTTACTGGACTCGGTAATCCTTTGCTGGCCGCCCTCCTCCCCGCCCCCTCCTCCTAGATCCGTCCTCCATCCACTCCTCTGTTCGCCGGTGTAGGACCTTGAAGTATGTCTAGAGGGGGGGGGGGTGATTAGACTACTTGACCAATTAAAAACTTAACCTTTTCCCAATTTTAGGCGTTGTCGGATTTTAGCTATCTTTGGACAAGTCAAGCAATCTTCACACAATTCAAGCAAACATGCAAAGAGTACATGAGCAGCGGAAATTAAAGCATGCAACTTGCAAGAATGTAAAGGGAAGGGTTTGGAGGATTCAAACGCAATTGGAGACACGAATGTTTTTGTCGTGGTTCCGATAGGTGGTGCTATCATACATCCACGTTGATGGAGACTTCAACCCACGGAGGGTAACGGTTGCGCGAGTCCACGGAGGGCTCCACCCACGAAGGGTCCATGAAGAAGCAACCTTGTCTATCCCACCACGGCCGTCGCCCACGAAGGACTTGCCTCACTAGCGGTAGATCTTCATGAAGTAGGTGATCTCCTTGCCCTTACAAACTCCTTGGTTCAACTCCACAATTTTGTCGGAGGCTCCCAAGTAACACCTAGCCAATCTAGGAGACACCATTCTCCAAGAAGTAACAAATGGTGCATTGATGATGAACTCCTTGCTCTTGTGCTTTAAATGATAGTCTCCCTGTCGGTGTCAAAACCGGCGGATCTCGGGTAGGGGGTCCCGAACTGTGCGTCTAGTCGGATAATAACAGGAGACAAGGGACACGATGTTTTTACTCAGGTTTGGGCCCTCTTGATGGAGGTAAAACCCTACTCCTGCTTGATTAATATTGATGATATGGGTAGTACAAGAGTAGATCTACCACGAGATCAGAGAGGCTAAACCCTAGAAGCTAGCCTATAGTATGGTTGTTGTTCGTCGTACGAACTAAAACCCTTCGGTTTATATAGGCACCGAAGAGGATTAGGGTTACACAGAGTTGGTTACAATGGTAGGAGATCTACATATCCGTATCGCAAAGCTTGCCTTCCACGCCAAGGAAAGTCCCATCCGGACACGGGACGAAGTCTTCAATCTTGTATCTTCATAGTTCAGGAGTCCGACTAAAGGTCATAGTACGGCTATCCGGACACCCCCTAATTCGGAACTCCCTCAGTAGCCCCTAAACCAGGCTTCAATGACGACGAGTCCGGCGCGCATATTGTCTTCGGCATTGCAAGGCGGGTTCCTCCTCCGAATACTTCATAGAAGATTTTGAACACAAAGATAGTGTCCGGCTCTGCAAAATAAGTTCCACATACCACCGTAGAGAGAATAATATTTACACAACTTCAATCTGCTGTCGTATTCCGTGGCGTGACACCACACCACGGCCAAGCCTTTATTCGAATCGTTTTTACTGTTCCACCTCAGCGCGTTTAGCGAGGCGGTTTCCTTTGCACGTCTTGTCAAAGCAGAGATCGTGTCCCCTTATTTCGAGATTCTCATCAATACGGGCGTGGGTAACCCAACCGCGCCATTGATTACGGCGCCTGGGAGATAAGCGAGTTTTACCAGGCTGGTGGGGACGCATAGCTTCGTCCGCCCATATAAGGGGATAAGGATCCACCTTTTTACCTACGCCTTCTTCCTCCTTTGCTCA